CTGCTCAGGAGACCACACACTCAGCCTCAAGGGAGTGATAACAGCTGGGCAGAAGAAAGGGATGTGGCACTATATAGACAGGGGCTCAGCACTAAGAGTACACACCTGACACTTAGGCAGGTTTCAAGAAGTGCTAGATGAAAACCACTATTATTTCAACAGAGGAAAAAAATATAACAAGAGCACTTTTAGATATTCCATTACAGAACGAACAACTTCCTGGTACTAAAAATTACTAGAGTTTGAATTTATCAGTTAACTTGTGGAAGAAATACTTCAGAAGAGAAAAAAATAGAAACAATAATGGGGAAACATAAGAAAGTTGGAGGACATACTTTTTCCAAAGCAATTTTCTCTACATTCTAAATTTAAGAGTTTTACCAACTTATGTCTGGTTGTATCTTTTTAAAATATCCTGATGGGAACTACAGAATTGAACTTAAGCCAGAAAAACTCCCTTCTCTATCCCTTCTCCTGCCTCCATCTGTGTCCTTTTCTCCTTCTGGAATTTCTGTTATTCACATACTATTTCTCCTGTCTCAAAAGGAACCAACACTGTCAACTTCTGGCTTTCAGAATTTTGAGAAAATGAATTTGTTGTTAAAGCTACCAGTATATGGTACTTTATATAGTAGCCCTATTCAAACTCATACACTAAGATACCAAAATCAAAGTACAGATTTATGAATACATACATGCAATAATTCTGCCCAAAATACCAAATTAAATCTGGCAACATATTAAGGTTATATACCACAACCATGTAGGATTTATCGCAAGAATGCAAAGGAGTTTCAACCCAAAATCATTATGAAATTGGATAGTGGTGATAGTTTCATAACTCCGTGAACACACTAAATAAAAACTTCTGAACTGCACATACTTTAAAAGGATTAATTGTATGGTATATAGCACTAATTTAAAAACTGAAATAGGCTCTGTGCCTGTAGCACAGTGGTTACAGTGCCAGCCACATACAAGGAGGGTGGAGGGTTCAAACCTGGTCCAGGCCAGCTAAAACAACAATGACAACTGTAACAAAAATAGCCAGGCATTGTGGCAGGCACCTTCAAGCACTTGGGAAGCTGAAGTAAGAAAATCACTTCAGCCCAGGAGTTTGAGATTGTTGTGAGCTGTGACGCCACAGCCCTCTCTTCTCAGAGAGATAGCTTGAGACTGTCTCAAAATAAGTAAGTAAATAAAAATTAAAATAATCATGTCATTGTTATCATTCTATTGGACTACACTATTCTAACCAAATATCATAGCGCAAAAAAGGGCCCTCCATTAGAAGACTAAGAATGAAGATGTTAACGACAGATATTACGTACACATACAATCGTCAACATAGATCTTGTGTACAGATACAATTAGACTTATAAGGAGACAGTGTGTAATACAAATGGCCCCCAACCTAAAATGTGGTTTGACTTAGAACTTCACAACTTTACCATGGTGTGAAAAAACCACACTAGAAGTACCTAAAGCATTCTGTGTTTCACTTCAGCAACTTATACAAGATAGTCGACAATTTTATTATAAAACAGGCACTTTTAGATAATCTTGCCCAATTAATGGAAACTTACACACACTGTAGGCTAATGAAGTGTTCTAAGCATATATAGGGCCAGATGTATTAATGCATTTTCACCTTATGATGGGCCTACACATCACAAGTAGAGGAACATCTGTAATTGAACTAGGTGAAGAGTTCTGTAAAAGGGGTTTACTGTCGAGAGAAACCTAATAGGAACTGAATTTTTTTTTTTTTTGAGAAAGAGTCTATGTCGTCCTCAGTAGAGTGCTGTAGCGTCACAGCTCACAGCAACTTCAAACTCTAGGGCTTAAGTGATTATCTTGCCTCACTCTCCCAAGAAGCTGGGATTACAGGTGCCCACCACAAAAATTCCAATTTTTGTTGGAAGTGTCAAGTTGTCATTGTTGTTTAGCTGGCCTGGGTCAGGTTCGAACCCACTGTGTATGTGGCTTGCACCATTACTACATGTGCAGAGCCAGGAGTTAAATTTTTAATTCCAACCTGTCACTCCTATCCTTTATGATTACTATTGTTTCTTTTTTTGTAAAGGGTCTTTGTCACCCTTGGTAGAGTGCTGCTATTTCATAGCTCACAGCAACCTCAAACTTTTGGGTCTAAGTGATCCTCTTGCCTTAGCTCCCAAGTAGTTGGGACTATAGGCGGCCACAACACCCAGCTATTTTTTTTTTTTTTTTTTGAGACAAAGCCTCAAGCTGTCACCCTTGGTAGAGAGCTGTGGCATCACAGCTCACAGTAACCTCCAGCTCCTGGGTTTAAGCCATTCTCTTGCCTCAGCCTCCCAAGTAGCTGGGACTACAGGAGCCCACCATAACACCCGGGTATTTTTTGGTTTTAGTTGTCATCATTGTTTGGCAGGCCCAGGTTGGATTTGAATCCACCACCAGCTCTGGTGTATGTGGCTGGCGCTTTAGCTGCCTGAGCTACAGGTGATGAGCTACGCCCATCTATTTTTAGAGATGGGGGTCTTGAACCTGTAAGCTTAGGCAATCCACCCACCTCAGCCTCCCAGTGCACTAAGATTACAGGCACGAACCACCTGTTTTGTGTGTCCTATTCAAGAAATCATTTCCCGAGCCTAAGCCCATCTGGTTATTTTCTTAACTTATAAAGTTCTGTTTTGATTGGCTTATTGGCTTTTTTTTTTTCTTTTGAGACAGAGCCTCAAGCTGTCCCCCTGGGTAGAGTGCTGTAGCATCACAGCTTACAGCAACCTCTAACTCCTGGGCTCAAGCGAGTCTCCTGCCTCCGCCTCCCAAGTAGCTGGAACCACAGGCGCCGGCCACAACGCCTGGCTATTTTTTGGTTGCAGCCGGGGCTTGATTGGAACCCGCCACCTTGGGTGTATGTGTCTGGTGCCTTAGCCCCTTGAGCCACAGGCGCTGAGCTTGCTTATTGGCTTTTTGTAAGTAAATCTACAATCAACCTAGAATTGATTTTCCAATTCCAAAAGAATTTTAGAATTAGTTTATCAAGTTTCACTTAAAACTTAAATGCAAAAGTCCCAAAATATCAGCCAACTAAATCCAGCAATAAAACAATAACATCATGACCAAGTTGGGTTCATTTTAGTATTGCAAGGGTACTCAACCATTTCAAACTCATTTACTGCAGTTTCTCATACTGATATGTCAATGGGGACAAAGTATGAGGTAGGATAAGTTTTGTAATGTTACATGAGAAATGCTTAACTGAAGTTGTGTCAAGAACTGGGAGCTGGGTGTCTGTAGTTCAGTGGTTAGGGCACTGGCCACATACTGGTGGGGCTGGTGGGTTCGAGTTTGAGGTTGCTGTGAACTATGAACGTCATAGCACTCTACCAAGGGTGACAAAGTGAGACTATGTCTTAAAAAAAAAAAAAAAAAAAAAAAGTGGGCCAGGAGTGGTGGCTCTTGCTCGTAACCCTAGCACTCTGGGAGGCTGAGGTAGGCGGACTGCTTGAGCTTACAGGTTTGAGACCAGCCTGAGCAAGTACAAGACCTCATCTCTAATAGCCAGGCAGGCTCTGTACCTGTAGGTTAGTGGCAGGGCGCCAGCCACATACACTGGAGCTCGCAGGTTCAAATCCAGCTCGGGCCTGCCAAACAATGACAACTACAACCAAAATAATAATAAAAAAAATAGCTGGCGCTGTGGCAGGTGCCTGTAGTCTCAACTACTTGGGAGGCTGAGGAAAGAGAATCGCTTAAGCCCAAGAGTTGGAGGTTGCTGTGAGCTGTGATACTATGGCACTCTACCGAGAGTGACATAGTGAGACTTGTCTCAAAAAAAAAAAAATTCTAACATGTAAATACTAAATCTAATCACTTCAAAGAAATGCTTATGAGGACATTAATATCTTAAAGGCACACGATGGACTTCTTAACATCATTAATAAAGCGATCTTTCAATATTGATTAAAAGCAGAAAGTTTACTTGGTTATTTTAAAACGAGGAAATCTTGTATAAAAATTAGTACTGAAAACATCACTTTTCAGTGCTAGATTTACTCTATTGCCTAATCAGAGGACTCACGAAATCTTTGTTCTTACTGTAAATCTGAAGACAAACATGCACTTAAATTTAAGTTATATTTAGTTCAGTTTTTTTTTTTTTTTTTTAAAGAAACAAGAGTCTCATTTTATCGCCCTCGGGAAAAGTGCCGTGGCATCACAGCAACCTCCAACTCCTTGGTTTAGGCTATTCTCTTGCCTCACGAGTAGCTGGGACTACAGGCACCCGCCAGAACGCCCCGCTATTTTTTTGTTGCATTTGGCTGGGGCCAAGTTCGAACCCGCCACCCTAGGTATATGGGGCCGACGCCCTACCCACTGAGCCTCTGGCGCCGCCCTCGGATGACTTTTCAAATCAAAAGATATTCGCAGCGTTCCGAACTCTCCCGGTCGCACCAGGCTCTAGCTGCCGGGCGCTAGACCGGCCCAAATACTGTTTCCCCACCCCCCACCCAAGCGGTTTCAGGAAGCAGCCGCGAAAGCCGCCCCTCCGTGCACGGGTCCCGCCACGCAGCTGGCCCGCAGTCGCAGGCAGGAGGCCCCGGCGCCTCAAGCGTAGTTTCGAAAACCAGGAAGTGGCGCATTCGTTCGTCCTCCTCCGACTGAAATGGAAGGAAAAGCCGCAGAAAGGCGCCCCGCGCCGGGCTCTCCTCCCTCCTCCCAGAGGGCCACCACGTGCCCGAGGGTGGTCAGGCGGGGAGCAGGGCCGGGTCCCCTACTCCAGGAACCTTCAGCAGGGACCTGGTCCGCATCTCGAAGGTTCCGGGAAGGCGGGAGAGAGCGCGGCGGGAGCGAGCGCGGCGGGAGCCGGGGCCGCTTCCAGAAGTTTCCTCACAGCGGTGAGGAATCAGCAAAATACATTCAGAGATACAAGAAAGTAAAGCAAAAGGAAACAGAAACGGCCGACTAAGCTCGGGAGGCAAAGATTTTCACTCCAAACACCAACACAATACCTTTAGAACAGGAAAGCGACGCACACCCCGTCGCTGGGAGCACACACGCGGCCACCGAGGAGGAAGAAAGGCCTCAGGGCCGGGGAGCGGGGCTCTGGCGGCGGGCGTGGGAGGAGGGCGGAGCCAGCTTCCCACAAGGCAGTCTTGTGCAACTCGCGGGCGCCTTCGGCCACGTGAGCGTAGGGCTTTCATTTCTAAAATGAAAGTCCTCCGACGGCCGCCAGTGCCCTACCGAGTACGGGCCGTCTTACGCCGCCCTTCGTAGCCTTCATCACGCCGGCCAGGCCCTACCTGCTGAGTCTGCGAACCCCAATGCCCCGACGCCAAATCAAAACCCGCCGTCGCCATCCCGTGGGACCAGTGCTGGGCACACACAGTGCCACCTCATGCCAGTGGGCCCCAGTCCCGGCTCGATCCCCTGTGTGTGGTGCCGGATTTCAGATCTCGCCTCCCAAGTCCCAGCACGACGGTCTCCACTCCGTTAGGCGAAATCCCCAGTTGGTCCGGTGTACAAGGACCTCGACATGGAATGTCGCCTCTTGTATCCCAAACTTCCCCATTTCGACCCACGGTAGGTTTAGTCCCCCCAGTCAGACACGGTTGCGCGGCCCTCGACCCGGAACTCGGATCCTGTTGCCCGGATCCTCAACTTCAGCCCCGCGGTCCCCGGCCCCAGTGGGTTTAGTCACCGGTCGGTCTCGAGTGTCCGGCTCTCAACCTTGGATCCCGCCTCCCAGTCTCCACCCCAAGTGGGCCCAGTCGCCGCTTGACCACGGGGGGGGGGCGGCCCTCGACCTCGGACCCATCGCCCGCTCGCCCAGGCCGCCCCTCACCTCGGGCTTCGAGTCTCCACGCTCCCGCTCTCACATCCGGCTCCTCGGGCGTCCCTCGCAGCACCTAGAGGAGGGTGGAACGCGGGGGACTTGGCAGTTGTAGTTGAGGCAGTTGAGGCTTGTTTACCGTCACCATGGAAACCCCCGGCTGCGCGCTCTGGGCGGGGCTTCTCAGGGGCGGGGTAAGGCGCGCGCGGGGACTGAGACCGCCACTCTCGCCCGTCGAACGCAAGGCAGCGCTTCCGGTGCCCCTCCTGCTCCCGGCGTGCCCAACCCTGGCTTGGCCCTACGCTCCTAACACCCAGATACAGCAACCCCAAAAGCCTACCTACTACCTTCAGCTACTAGCTGCCGGCGCCACAGCGCGCGGTGCCCCCCGAACCCCACCTTCTTCAGAGGACGAGGCGCAGTCCTGCTTCCACGACGGAGCCGGAAGGACGTAAGGACCGAGGCATGGTGGGACCTTCGCGCTGGCGTCCGGGGGCGGAGCTACTACGGCGCCATTGTGACGCCAATGGAGCGGAACCGGCGATTGGCCGGCCGAGCGCGGGGTGGGACATGCGGAGGACTAGTTTGTGGCCTGGAGGGCGGGGTCCCGCCCGCAGTTCTTGAGTCTCTGGCGGACGGTAATTGGATGGCCCGGGATGAAGGCCTAACTCCGAGCCCCGGTAACCCCGGGTTTTAAGAGCGGCGTGAGAAAAGAAAATGCCCTACCCGCGTCGGAGGACACCCCGGAAAATTCAGAGATAGCCTGCGGCGATTCGAAGGGGCTGAGTTTAGGAGGGATTTCTTCCTTTTTTTTTTTTTAGAGACAGAGTCTTACTTTGTAGCCCTACTTAGAGTGCTGTTGCGTCACAGCTCACAGCAACCTCCAGCTCTTAGGCTTAGGCAATTCTCTTGCCTCAGCCTCCCGAGTAGCTGGGACTACAAACGCCCGCCACAACGCCTGGCAATTTTTTTGTTGCAGTTTGGCCAGGTTCAAACCCGCCCGCCACCCTCGGTATGTGGGGCCGGCGACTACTCTCTGAGCCACAGGCGCCGCCCAGAAGGGATTCCTTAGGTGGAAGTGGCTTAGGTGATAATATTGTAGTGTCAGATCTCCCCTCACCTCAGAATGTGACTCAGAAAACACAAGGCAAGTGCACTATTTTCAATCACAGGGAATCTAAGCACACAAATTTGGTGGCCAATGGCTGCCTTACGGTGGCAAAGGTACTCCTTTTTCTTGATATGTTGTAGGGCTAATAATTCCCATATTATTTTGATGCGTTCTTAATGAACAGATATGAAGGCACTCATCGTTAAAGTGAACATTATTTTAAAAATCAACACAGAGGTGGGACGTGGTTGATCACTCCTGTAATTCTAGCACTCTGGGAGGATGAGGTGGCAGGATCTCACAAGCTTAGAAGTTGGAAACAAGCCTAAACAGCAGCGAGTCCTGTCTCTACAAAAATAGAAAAATTTGCGGGGTGTGCAGGAATGCTCATGTAGTCCCACCTGCTCTGGAGGCTGAGGCAGGAGGATCACTTGAGCACAGGAATTTGACCTTGCTGTGAGCTATGGTGCAGCCTCTGCATTCTAGTCTGAGTGACAGAGCAAAACCCCATCTCCAGGAGAAAAAAAAAATCCCCACAGAAATACTCAGAGTCATTTTATGAGTGGTCCACAAATTGAAGGAAGGAGCAATTCGTTAGTAAAAGCTGACTCAAGAAAAGAAAGAATGGTAAGAGTAAAAGCAGGGACTCAGCACTTGTGGCTCAAGCGGCTAAGGCACAAGCCACATGCACTGGAGCTGGTAGGTTGAAATCCAGCCCAGGCCCGCCAAACAATAAAGTTAGCTACTTTGGAAAAAAAAAAGAGAGAGAGAGAGAGAGAGGCTGGGCGCCTGTGGCTCAAGTGGCTAAGGCGCCAGCCATGTGCACCCAAGGTGGAGGGTTCAAATCCAGTCCCAGCTCGCCAAAGAACAATGAGGG